TGATTGATCAATCAAAAAGATCAAACATGCAGCCAATACTGTACTATGTACTGTTAAAGTTGTACCTGTGTTACCTCTTCCTCAACTTGAATTGCATACAGTAGAGAAATTGATGCATCTTTACATTTCTTTATTTTAATTTTTTATATGTGAGATTTTCCAATATTCAGCTTCACAGATTTCATTTTTGAATGGTAGTTTCCTAACAGTTTATTACCTGTGTTACACCAAATAATACAAAATTTCATTTTAAAGCTGTATTGAAATAAAACATTCAGGAACGTCTCCTTGTTATGTCGCTGTATAGTTGATACTGTATATTGCTTTTCCCAATTAGAAGCGCAACATTCAACTAATTTTAGAAGTGATTATCTCGAAAAATTTGATAGATAACAATTGACCGCAATAAAATGTGTTGAAGCGCTTCGAAAGCACGTTCTCACTTTAGTGGGGTTGAATCGGACACATTTTTTTCAAAGCATAGTTCATCATTACTTCTTTAAGATGTTTTTTATTTGAACCGCCCCTTATTCTGTTTTCAAAAAATTACTTTCGCGGCAAATAAATGATTCTTAAGATTGAGATTTTCTGCTATTTTCATTTCTTTTACGTATAAATCTGATCAAGATACATTTTTAACACATATCTGCTTGAATTAGCTGGAAGTTAGATCGACATGAAACATTCTGGAAAGCATATGAATAATGTTTTGAATTTATAGGCATCCTTGAAGTTTCTCCGGCAATCACCCAAACGTATTGCTTTGTGTTGAAAACAAACATTTTACAAATATATAGGTCTGCTTTTCACTTATATTATTTTTTGCTTGCTTCGTGCGAACTGCACACGACGTTAAACACTTGAACGATGTGGTTTCTTGAAAAAATGATTCGTTTTTTCCGAAAAGGTTGTTAAAGTGCTGATTATAAACTTCTAAAACAACCCTATAGACTTTCTCGTGAATCAAATCGCATTCAAAGCGTTTCAATGTACCATAACAGTATTAGATAAATTTCAGGCTGGGTGGTTGGCAGAAAAAAACCCACAGATGTCATGATTCGTCACAGCTTGTTGTCATGATCAAAACGAACATGAAAACGAAACTCCCGCAGAATTGATTGCATTGAACTTCGGATTATCATCCGGCGCCAGGAAAACATTGATTCTGGTTTTCAGTCAGGACTTTAACCTTGACAGTGGTCACACTGGAGCTGCATGGACAACAGAAACAAGGATAATGGTCATATCAGGAACATTATTCATGCACCCAAGTTAAGCAAATACTGTACTATTTGTTATAATTGCCCATGAAAACGTCAAGCTGAATGTTTTAAACAAAAAGACCAACATTATAGCATTGGCTTGGATACTACCTACTTTGCTTGATAAATTCATCATTTAACAACTGCAAAAATGTGTTGACAATTTCCCATCTGAGGCACAATATTTTAGATTATTTAGCCCCTTGTCATCTTTGAAAAAAATCATCCTGGGAATGAATTTATTACTAGTGGAATCCAGCAGTCTGCAGGTTTTTTCTTTTTTGCAGGTCTGAGGAAAATTTTCTGCAGTGTAAGAAATTTATCAAATGTATGTACAATTTATAAAATTTGTTTTCTTCATCTAATATTTTGGAAAGATAATGAAAGATGAAATTATCTGATGGAAAAAAAAGGTTTGCTTTTCTCCTAACAACACTTAAGAGGAAAATTTTCAACAGCTGAAATAAATTATTTAAATTTTTTCATTCTGAGCTCCACTATTTCTGCTTCATTGGTTAATAATTTCATTTTTCGTGCAAAAGCATAAACTTTTCAAGCAAAACTTTTTTGATTCTTCAAAAATGTTGTGAAACTTTGCCAGTCTGCAGCAGATTTTTGGGAAATTTTCCAGTCAGTGAAAAATCATACAGAACTTTGATGGTCTGCCAGCCAAAAAAGGTTGGGGAACACTGTCATACTTACTGTGATGTCATAGACAGTATTTTTTTCTTGTGATAAACCACAAGCTGCTTTAAACAAACAAACGAATGGTGTTTGTTCATCAAGTGTTGGGGACTAAGTCACCGCAACAAGAAGGTGCTGAAAAAGAAGAGTTTTTAGAAAATTGGTTTTAAAGAAAACACAGAATCAGCCTGGGGGTACCGGGTCAGCCACCAGCCGGTCAATTCATGGTCGCGCACCAGCCAGCCGGCAACCGCCGATCCCTGCAACTGCCAGCCGGGGCAGTAGTTGGTCTGCCGAATCCCCAGCCCACCAAACCATGGTCCAGTCACCCAATCACCCAATTGTCGGGGCACCCAGAGGCCCCTTACAAACCCTGGTCAGTTGAATCTTGGCTCTAAAATCCTGATCTCCCAGTGCATAGGAGATCAAATAATTTTTATCATGTACTTTCCCACAGGTTTTCAAAAAAAATTGTGAAATCCCAGGTGCTGGGCGCAGAATTATTTTGCACAAAATTTTGTCTGAAAATTGAGAAAGCTGAAAAACTGTAAAGCAAAACATTACTGAAATGTACGGTTCTGGGTGAAACAGTTTTTTTTTACAAATTTTTAACCAAAATTTCATTTAAAAAATGTTGCACCCAACATCCCAGATTTCAGTGATTTTTTTCCCAATGTTGGATGGAATGACAAATGAATACTTTCATTTTTTTGCTCTTATTTTTAATTGTTTGGCCAACATTCTTAATACCAGTACTTTCCTGTAATCTCTGTACCCATTTTTCTGTGTCTTGTGAATTCAGTATACTTTAGGTTAGGTTAGGTCAGGTTATGTTAATCAGAAGATATTTGTAACTAGCATAACCTGACCCGTGTCCGGTCAGCCGCCGGTTGGTCAATTGACGGTCGCGCACCTGCCGGTCGTCAAGCACCGGTTGGTCCAACCGCCAGCCAGGGCAGTTCTTGGCCTCCCCAATCCCCAACCCACCAAACTGCGGTTTGGTCACCCAATTGTCGGGGCACCCAAACAATCCGGTGACAAGAATCATGCTGATTTTTTCTTCAGAATTCAGTGAGCAGAATGGTATCCTACCACAGATTTTTTTCTTCAAAATTTCAGCAATGTTAGGTTAGGTTAGGTTAGGTTAGGTTAGGATATGTTAGGTTAAGTTAGGTTGGGTTTGATAAGTTTTTTTCTTTTTGTGAAAATTTTTATAAGATGAAATTTTGTAAAAAAAAATAATCTATGGTAGGATACCATTCTGCTTACCAAATTCTAGAAAGAATCAGCATGATTCTTCTCACCAAATTGTTCCAGTGCCCCAACAATTGGGTGACCGAACTGCGGTTTGGTGGACTGGGGATTTAGAAAGAATCAGCATGATTCTTCTCACCAAATTGTTCCGGTGCCCCAACAATTGGGTGACCAAACCGAGGTTTGGTGGACTGGGGATTGGCAAGGCCAAGAACTGCCCTGGCTGGCGGTTGGACCAACAGGCACTTGATGACCAGTGGGTGCGCGACCGTCAATTGACCAACTGGCGGATGACCTGGTACCAACCTGACCTAACCTAACTTTACCTGACCGCCTCCCAAAATCAGTTTCAGCAGAATGCACAAAAATGAAATTCAAAGTTTCTGATAGACCTCTCTGGACCATGGAAAGTAGGTACTGAGATAACAGGGAAGTACCTGAAAAAATACTGTACCCAGACCACCATACATTTCAGTAATTGTCTGACCCAATGCTGGGAAGAATGTGAAAGCAATACTTTCAAGTTATTTTTGATCCTCAATTTTCCAACTTTTTCAATTTCTCAATTTCTAGCCAAAAATTTGTAAAAAAAACTGTTCCACCCAGAACCGTACATTTCAGTAATATTTTGCTTTACAGTTTCTCAGCTTTCTCAATTTTCAGACAAAATTTTGTGCAAAATAATTCTGCACCCAGCACCTGGGATTTCACAATTTTTTTGACAACCTTCGGGAAAGTACAGGATAAACATTATTTGATCTCCTATGCGCTGGGAGATCAGGATTTTAGAGCCAAGATTCAACTGACCAGGGTTTTTAAGGGGCCTCTGGGTGCCCTGACAATTGGGTGATTGGGTGACTGGACCATGGTTTGGTGGGCTGGGGATTTGGCAGACCAACTACTGCCCTGGCTGGCAGTTGGAGGGATTGGCGGTTGCTGGCTGGTGGGTGTGCGACCGTGAATTGACCGGCTGGCGGCTGACCGGACAGGACAGGATCCAGGAATTCGCGGTGGAATCCCTAGTTTAAAATTAGAGTGTATTTCAAAATGTCCAAAATTAAAAGCTTCAAAAAATAGTAACACAAATTACAAGTTAAAATTTGGTAAGTGTTTTGGAAAAACAAAACCTCTCAGGAAACCTCTGAATCCACTGCTCCGGCAGCAAGATTGAACTGAACTGTGTTGTCTTTTGATAAAATGGGGGTATTTATTAATTTCTTCTCTGGTCCTTGATCAAGGGGGGTTGATCAAGGGCAGGAGAATCTCAAATGCCTGGGATTGGCTGTAATTGAAGATGGTAATCAAAGACGTCTTGGCGCCAAGACAGACGTCTTGGCGCCAAGAAAGTTTTAATTTTTTGGGGGAGGGGAAAGCTGTTGATGGATTTCATCCGTTTTTTACGCACGGGTGGTTTTCCACCCGATTAAACATTTATAATTGATTTTTCCGACTGGGATGTGCAGGGAGTCCCCAACATCAAGCATCTATACCACATTCATCACTTTTTTTGGCAGAAGCCTAGGAACATTTTATGAAAAAAAATGCTTTGCTTTCACCCTGGAGCATTAAAGATTATGAAAAATTTTTGTTTGTCGCGACAAAAAATGCCTAACAACACCATCTCCAAGCACCTTTTATTCATAAAAATGTTGTATACGAATACTGTAAAAGCGAACAATGAACCTTTGAATGGTTGATTAGCACACACGAAAAATGTATTTCTCAATATCCCAGTAAGTGAACAAACATGGAGGTAAATGTAACACATTAACATCTTTCTTCGCTTTAATTTTGTTTTCGTGAGACACATAAATCGGAATTCATGTCAGCAAAATGTCAACCTTGGATTATTTTTGTTTCGCTTTTTTCCCTTTTTTTCTCAGCTACGATACAGTCAATGAGGCATGTTAATACCAGCAGCAGCAGTGCGAGCATCTGTGTGAAGTACTGTAGTACGCGTTTTAGGCGTACTTCTTGGTGGGGAAGTACCAGCCGTGTAAGTCCTTTGGCACTGGCCCGTCAGCCTCGAAATCCACTCTTCCGAGTTCTTTGAAGGACCTGGCATCCAGGATCAGCAAAGTGACCTGCTTGTCCAATCCCTTGGCCCTCAGCAGCACAGACAAGACGACCCCGTCATCCTCACTCTGGGTCATTCATGTTCAAGAAGAGACAATCACCAGAGGGTTTCAAGTGAAAACGAAAATACAGTTTGGCCACAACATTTGGACACCCTGACATAAATAGGAATTATTCAACTTAGGGACACTGAAAAGTGAAAATTAACAACAACAAAAATCTGCCCTGACATCTGGACAAGGTCTCAAGACATGGACAATTTTCGAACATTTTCAGGAAATATTGACATTTTAAGATGTATTAAATTAATTTATTGTAGCTTTGAAATTCCGTTCATCATCACGGAATGTAGGGACAGTGATAAATATGGAGAATAACAATCTTGCAATCGCCCCAAAAATTGAGAAAACATGTTTCTGAGGCATAGACGAATTGCAATAGAGGACATTTTTAGCTTTTTCAAGGCACAATTGACGGGATCGAGAAACCATGAATCAATCTCCTGAAAACAGGGCCATTTCTCTAATCATGATATGAAAACAAATTAAGTGACCGTATCATTCATCAATCTTCCATTTCCGACGCTAGTACTCAAACAAATGTTTGTACTGCGATGGCGAAAAAAGTTTCCCTCGCCTTCCTCAATTCATTTGTCAGAAGCTTTCCGGAATTTTCTCTTTATTTGACACCATACAACCTTTTTATGACACAATTTTTTTTTTAATATCAAGACTTTCGAAGTTACGAAGTTCTTGTGGGGTCTATTAAAACACAAATGACTTGATACAGAAATTTTCTGGGATTTTTGGCAACCGGAAGAAAGTACAAAAGTTCAAGTGACTTATGCTGTACAATTGAGTATAAAACGGTACCGGTATCATCATAATTTACATGCGAGGTACCCTGTTTTCTTCAAGAGATCCAAGCCAATTTTCAAAAATTTCAGTATTTTTTTCAAGAAAATATTGATTGATAAATATTTAAACAACGGTTCGACATACCCTTGGATGAGGTGCGGTGATGAAAATAGGTTCACTGGGATAAACGTTGTCTTCAGACCAGATTTGCCTCGTCTTCGTAGTGGCATTCACCTTGATCAACTGAAACACAATGGTTGACAGTTGGGTTAATTGAGATTACAAACATTTCAGGATTTGAAGAGGAAAATCATGAAGCGAGTCCAATTTCTTGTAAAAATAAATATTTCTCCAGTTATGTGCTATATGTATCTGTACAAGTCCTGCAAGTCTTTGGTCAGTTTTCAGGACAATTGATTTAAATTTGGAGGTCAATGTTTGACTATACAGGTGTTACATTGCAATTTGACCCTAATATGTTGCCAAAATAGGGTCAAATTGCAAGACACTCCATAAACCAAGGGCAAACAGCCCAAAAACACTAGAAAAGAGGCTAAAGCAGGTCACATTTTGGGAAAGAGGTCAAATTGGGAGTTGACCTCCAAGAAAATTTGTCCATCAAATTTGGGGACATTTGAATTGTAGGAGGTGGAATTGCAAGGTATCACCTCTACAGCAGTCAACCACAGACCTCCTGCACAAAATATTTTTGCAGAAGAGACCACCTCATCTGGAGGCAATTTTTCCTCTCACATAACAGGCAAATAATCTGCATTACAGACTTAATTCTCGAGAAGTTCATGCTGCCAGTGGACATGAGTCCCTTGCATCTCCCCTTGCTTCCCAGCTGAATTTGCATAACAGACTTTTCACTTAGCATACTAGTCTGTTGCACTGACCAAGTCCATTTGTGTGTGGGTTGACTGTATTTTCTGCTCATTTATGTATACAATTTTTGCACATACAGGTGGTACTTTGCAATTTGACCTCCCACAATTCAACCATCCCGCAATTTTACAGATGAATCTTCTGGGGGGTTGACTTGCAATTTGACTCAGCCTTGCAATTACATGTCCTTCAGTCACTTTTACAGTGTTTTGTGCTGCTGCTTCTGGAGTTTTCTTAGTGTCTTTCAACTTGACAACGTTGCAATAATTTGACCCCATATTTTGGCAACTGATTAGGTTTGAATTGCATGGCATCACCTGTACAAGCAAGCAATAATTTTTCTTCTCCAGCTTTTCAACTCCTGTGTGAAGAATGATGGAAGAAAAACACATTGATACCCAGTAAATATTGAATTTACTAAAGTATATTTTTACATGATGATGACTCACGGTTCCTGGTCTCTCCAGATCCACGTCCGACGCAATGGCGTAAAAGTAAGTATAGGGTTTCCCATTGCACCTCTCGTAGTTGATCCTGGGCACCTCGCAACCCAGGTCACACAGCGGCTCTGACACGACCCTCACGGCGTCCCTGCGCACCAGGTACGCCTCTGCCCGCGACCCGTGCAGGGTCACCAGGTTGTTCTTGTGCTGATCACCGCCACCACTATTTGCCTGCTGTTGTGGTTGTTGTTGTTGTTGTGTGATATTATTCATCATTGCTGGATTGCATGCAAGGGGACGCCGAGACTGCTGGGCACTGCTGGTGCCCATCGTCAACCTGGTGGGCAACACGAACCTCTGTGGCCGACCCCGGAACATTTCCGCGTAGTCTGGGTTCTTGTTCATCTCCTATATTTATATATATGAAGTATATCATATGTACAGTTGAACCTGGATAACTCAAAGCTCTTGTAATTTGAATACCTCCATAAGTCATCATATTCACCTCTACCTGTCTGAATCCCTTTGGAAAGGCATTAAAAATGTCTCCAATAAGTGGAGGGCTTTTCCTCTCAAATCTCCAAATAACTGGAATTTTCTGGAGGCCTTTTGGCAATCATTTATTGACACAGGAACGAGAAAAGCAACAAAAAAAACTCTACCTTGATGCATTTTTAAAGGAAGTGAAATACAGTTGAACCTTTGATAACTTGAAGCTCTTTTAGTTAAATACACCCATAATTCAAAAGTTTTCAGTAGTCCCTGTTGGGGACTGAAGAAGATTTTGCAACACAAAAGGTAAAGATGTGGATCAAAAGGAGAGTTCAGAAAATAAAACACGCAATCTGTCTGGGACAAGGGTAAGGAATCCTTGAGGAGATTCGAAAGTTAAAAGTTTAAAATATATTTTTGAAAAACTTGTCCCAAAAGAAAAAAGTTATAACACAAGCAACAAGACAGATAGAAGTTCTTCAACACCAAACCTCTCAGCAAACTTCACATGTGAATGTGTATTGCACAGCAAACTTATCAAGACTGGTGCTGATTTCTTGATGAAAAGGGTTCTTTATTAATTTCTTATCTCCCATCCTAGATCAGAGTAATGGATCAAGGGTGGGACAGTGCCAAGACATCTGATTGGCTTGAAAAAGTCAAGTCAAAGATGCCTTGGCACCAAGTTTTTCGATTTTGAGGAGTGGAAAAAGATGTTACCAGATCTCTATTATATATGATTTCTACTTGGGTGGTTTTTTCTACCTGATTTATTTTATTTGATGACCTGGTAATTTTCCTCAAATAATTGGGGTATGAGCTGAGTCCCCAACAGTCCCATCTGAATTTCCTTAGAAACAATGCACCAAAATCTCCCAAACTCAAAAGCTTCTCTTCTCAAACCTCTGTAAGTCAAATTTTCTGACACCTTTTGATTGTTATTTTATTGCAAAAGGAAAAAGAAATCAATAAAAAGCTGAATTTGATGTATTTTGAATGGAAAAGAAAGACTCATTGGGCAAAAGAACGCTTGCATCCAAGTTTGGCATCCTGTAAACTCATTTAAGAAGCAATTTACCGCCCTAAATATTGCTATTTATACATTCCTGCACTTCTTCTATCTTTCCCACAACAAAAATGCATTTTCCCTGACTCAAATTTTTATCTATTTTTGCTGCTACCTAAAAATTCGCCATGAAAAGGTTTGACTCAAATATGTTCGATTTTTTTTCAGAGTGAAACATTATGCAGCACTGCTTACCCTCAGGGCATCAATGTACATGCAGTCCAACATTTTGGCATCTGGATAAGCACACAAATCCAGGATCACGAAGTCTCCTTCCTCAAAGGCATTGATGGTGTGCAGGAAGAAGAGGGGATCTGCTTCGTATCGCACCTTTGTTCCTTTCCCGGTTTCCCTGGATATCAAGTGGATGTACGTCTGTATGAAGCAGAGGAGAGAAACATTTTAAATTCATGGAATTCTTCATCCCACAATCCTTTCAAACAGAGCCTGTAAGAATTGTGTGTATACTTCAGTTTCAGAAAACAAAAATACAAATCACATAATACAATATTGTATATGGATGTTGTGTTTTGGCTTAATCAGAAAATTTAAAAAAAGCGTTATACTGTATACTGCATCAAGATTCATGGTTCTTCTTGCATGTAGGCTCAAAGTTTCATAGGAAAGTATGAGAAACAGACAATAAATGCTTCAAGGTACTGCTGTTTTTCTTTCAACAGATATGTGAAGAATTGGCAAAACTTCCAACCTCTGATGGATTTAAGCAGATGAAGTTATGCAGAAAATTCATAATTTGATTCAAAACGTGATACAATAATTTGTAATTTCAGACCTTCCCTTTTTAGATTTTCTGAGGAAAAATACATCAATCTTAATGGAGCATTACTGAAAAAAAGAGAAAATACATGTGTATAGAGAGCGATCATTTATTAAGAACAGTGGGTTTCCTAAAATAGAGCAGTAAACTTCCATAAATTCGTATCTTTCAAAAAAATTGCCCTATTAGAATTCTAATGTACTGTATGAAACTAAATAAATTTGGATTAGGGCTTCCTGCTTCCTACAATGCTAGATTTTCCGTTCGGAATCAAATTAGCATTTGTATTTTTGTTGAAGATCTTGCAATTCTGCACACAATTAGGAGACATTTCCAGGACCCGTGCACATATAATGAAGGCAAAAATGGATTATACTGACATGGAGATGAGTAAAATTAGTTCTTTATAAGACTTTTAACACAATTTTTATAAAATAGCCCCTACGCAAAAACTGCAAAAAAGAAAATAGTTGCTCAACGAAAAAAATGTGATGACATTCATTGGAATCCTTAAAATTAAATAGAAATAATTTCTCAACTTCAAAGCGGAGAATCAAGGGCACAGAAGAAAATCACTTAGAATATAATGTTTGGCATGCTAAGAAGATACAGTAGAAAAACAAGTGTGCAGCTATTGAAATACAATATTGAGTCGAACACAGTTGCTGGGAAACCCATTTGAGAGAGATTTTCGCTTTTTTTTTAAGGAAATACATTAGTATATTCAGGACAAGATTTAATCATTTTGAACTTCATGCCATATCCTGATTTTGAAGAAGTGATATTTTTCATACTACTGTAATGGACATTCTCACCTTCAAAAATTATCCAGATATGTTAGTGGAAATTGTTAGAGCTTAAACCTGGAAGTTTTTGGAGTTCACACAAGATGCATACATATTGCATACACATTACATGTCTAAAACCTTATACAGGTTGTCAACAAATGACGGTCAAAATTGAGGACATGAATATCCACATTATTGAATAATTTGAGTATATAAGGTATAATCAGAGCATCTTACAGGCTCATTGTACCACTGCATGGTCTCCACCAGCGCCCTCTGTGTCACATGCACCTTGGCAGCCTTAGCCATTGACACCACCAGTGGCTGCTCTATGATGATGAAGTAGTGTTTTGTGATGCAGAAGGAATGCATGTAGCTAGGACTCAGACGCCATCTGGCCTGATGTGTAGCAACAATCTTGGCCCTTGTTACTCTGTCCTGATGCTCGGCTTCTGGCCTGGAATTCTGACCAGGAGCCACTGAATTAGCACTTCCAGGCCTGCTGATGTTGTTGTCTTTGGATTTTGGTGGAAATTCTACAATGCAGTACTTGCATCCAGCAAGTCCAATGCCTTGTCCCAGAGTATAAATTGTACCATCTTCCAGCAAATGGGGGTGAGCACTCTGGCCCATTACTGAGACATACTTTGTGATGTCTACCTGCAGCATTCAAAAAATATGAAAAATTCAATGATTGATAAACCTGAAAATTTCTAATCTGATCTAGGAAGAATGTTTCCCCTCTTGATCCTCATCCCTTGGATGGGCCTTTTGGAAGAATGTTGGACAGTGAAAAAAAAGATGCAATACTGTACAGTTGCCCCCCGCCTAACAGACCTCCTGTGTGAGGGATTTTTGCCAAACAGACCAGCTCTGCAAGCAGTTTTTCCTCCTGCCCAACAGACAAAATCCATCAAACAGACTTCTTTTGGTTTAAAATTAGTGTTGAAAATTGAAATTTTCAATTTTTATGTAATTGAATTTGTGTAAAGGACTTTTTGTCTAACAGACTCATCCCTTGCACAAATCAAATCCATTAGAGAGGGGTTGACTGTATTCTATAATTGTCTGCTTTTTAGATTTCACCTGAAGTAATAATATAGAAATAGAAGGCATCATTTTTAAAATGTCCAAATTTCAAAGTACATTTTTGAGCTGAAACTCAACTTACCACACCTCAAAATTATGTAGATATGGCACTTTTAAAATTATTTATTTTCTAGATGACACCAGTAAAATTTATTTCATGGGTACATTGCCGGTCTTTCATCATAGTCATATCAGTTCAAGATCATGATTAAGGAAAACAAATTCCAAAAGAAATTGTATTTATACTTTTTCCATATTTTTAGCCCTGACATGTTTATCAAGATTCTGCTTGAAAGTTTGTCCAAAAAGCATACTGTACAAGTTTACAGTATTCAACCACGCCCCGTTTAGGATTCAAACTTGAAGAACAATACTGTATGAAGTTTACATACTCTGTCAAGGGTTTCCAGAGTCTGAATGTCGATTTTCTGCATGAATGGAGTCTCAGTCAGTGCATACACTTCATCAGGACCATCCCATGGAAATACTGTGATGTTCGCATTGTCTGTGAAAATGTCATCTTTGGAGAAGTAACTGAGGAATCTGTGAACATGAAACAGCTTTGATGATACAGTACAGTACAATAATGCAAATTCAACCGACAGCAGTGACATCTGTGACACTCAAAATTCAACTCACCTGGAGAAGAGGGTTTTGCAGGGGTCAGGTTGCGCCCTGGTGCCGAACTCGTTCACCACGATCCTCTGGGCTGCCATATTCCTCTTGAAGGACGTTGTTCTCACGTACTTGTTTTGGTATGTCACTTGTCCTTCATTGATGTGGAACCTGCGGTTTTTTTATCCCAAACTATGCGTTCTTCTTAAAATATTTTGAATTCCTTGAAAAATGCTTACCGATGCAGCAACGCGCTGGAATCAAACAAGTGATTGAAAACGTCGTCGCCGACTTTGATTCTTCCCGGCCCATTTCTGACCAGAGTTCCATTCAGCCAAACAGGTATGATACCTTGTAATATGTTATCCAATGAGAATGCATTCATTTTTCACCCATGACTCGCAGAACGTATTCTAACGTTAAAATATCGTTGCAATAACAAAGTACCACACCAGGAAACGGATGAAAAATTCGTTATAGCGAAAAAAAATCGCTGTATACAAGTAATGCACTCTCTCCTTACAACAAAATACAATAAGGGTCCAAAATAAAGTCGGAAATACAGAGAAAATTGTTGTAGACAAGATTGCTGCAGATGAGAGAGTCCACCAGGATTTTTTGGATTCATGATCTTAGAAAAAACACATTTTAGGTTGGTATTTTTTGGGATCGGGAAATGGGTGATGATAAGGAATTTTCAAAGCAGCAGACATTAAATGACCACTCCCAATTTCTAAGCATTTCAGATAAAATTTAGAGGACAATTTTAGAATAAGTAGCACTTTTCTTTCATTAAACCTGCCTCTCTTTATTGGAGTGTTGTTTGGCTTAGAATAGAATGAAGCAAAATTGCATGTGCTGGATATATTTTCTTGTTTCTGAATCATCTCATTCATTTATACAGTTGAACCTCTCCAAGTCTAATTTTAAGGGACCAGTAAACAATTTTGACTTAGGGAGGTTTTGACTTCTGGAGATTTTCCATTTATAGGGAGGTTACTATAGGGAAACAAGCATTTTTTGGAAAATATAAAATAATTGCAGGGAATTATGAATGGTGATAATCTGGGCATTAAAAATTGCTTCTTTAATGATTTTACAGCATGCTGAATTCAGAGGCAAGTGTTTCTTTGCCCAATGATAGTCCATCACTACCTTTTGAAACACTTTGAGTTACTTGTTTTATTGCTTTCCTCTTTCATGTACTGTATCAAGAAAATAATTACTAAAAGGCTGAAGAAAATTTAGCTTTGAGAGGTTTGAGAGAAAAAGGCTTTAAGTTAGCAAGGTTTTTAATGCATTTTTTAAAGATAATTCAGTTGGAGACTTGTAAAAAAGTTGAATTGTGCTGGAGGTTTGGCTTATGAAGGTTCAATCATACCTGTGTTTCTTCTCTCAAATACAGTGCATGAAAATCCTTTTTGACATATACTCCTGGTATTTATTTTAAAGAAATGCTTACATTCTTGAATGGAGCTAAAGAATTTCCAAGAAATACATCATGTTTTGTATTATTGTGAAAAGTAAATGTTCTCTAAAGAACATTTAGCTTCTTTGCTGATGAAGTTTGAATTCTGCACCGTTACAATTATTCAGCAGCATTACAATCATTCAGCACTGTCTCTAACATTTGGTATAATGAAAATTCAGCCTAAAATAAGTTTGTTAAAATAAGATTTTCATGTTACATTTCCTTGGGGTAGGGATACTGCTGCAGGACCAAGAAAATCCTATTTATTACTGTATAAGAAGATTTGTAGTAGAAGGATATTACTAAATATCCATCATATTCTCCAAGCAATAAACAGTACCGTACCTTTTACTTTTCCTTCAATGGGTTCCACAACTTCGTTTTCACAAGTCCTCAGCCAAATGGTGGCATCGCAGTTGGGGTAATAAATGCCCTCTTCCTGCTCAGCACCTCTGCTGTCTTCTGAATCATCCCTGGATTCATTAGCGACATCTATGGTCGGAAGATTCTCTGCATTCCTGTCTGCCATCTTCTCATGGCTTTTCAAGCGGAATTCGGGGGATGAAATTCGAAAAACTCTTGTTAATTGTACGCTGATTTTCGCTCATTTACTTTTCAGTCACAAAGCAGCATGTAATCACTCGATGAATCACTTTTCATCGATCAAACGATGACATAAAACACAGGGCTTTGCATATAAATGGTGGAATATTTCGATGACGAATACAGCGAAGAATTGATGCTGAAGAAACACTTCGAGTCGCAGCACAGGTCCCGATGTGAAATGAAGTTTGGGTTGAAGAAACAGAGGTACGTGTAGACACAGCCAATACTTACTGGGGTTCTTATTGTTTTTTTTTTCTTCTTTCCACAGCTTTGAATGAAGGATTAAGGATTTGGAGCTCAGGACGCAGAAGAAGTTCAAGTTACTGCGGCAGGTTGAGAAGATTACCTACCTACTGTCATCCCCACATTGTTCGTTATATTTTTTCCGAGACTGAATAAAGAAAACAAACCCCGAAAATGTTTTGGGAGTGTCCTGATATATTATATTATGACGGCGTCTGATTGGATGTGAAGTGGGATCCCGAGCATACAGCAGTTAGACCCCAAAATACGGACACCCCGACAGATGGACAATAAATTGACTTAGGGACACTTGGACTTGAAAAAATGTGCCAGCTAAGATCTATAAAGTGACTCGAAATTCGGACACTTTTCCAAGATTTGTGAGAGAATTTGAAAATGGGTGTCTTTCTAGATTTCTGTTTTTTTCTTGAAGAAATCGAGAAATAAATATTTACATCAGATGCTAAAAAGAAAGTTCATCATACAATCACCCCAATTCAAAATTTAAAAATCAGGCAAATTTTCTGATTCTTTTTTAAGTTTTTCCCATCAGGTGTGTTCAGTTTATATAGTATTAGACTTGTTCTTGGTCCTTGATTATTTTGAGCTCCTTCTGATGCCAAAAGACCAGATTATGTGTGGTTTTCTTCTGTTCATTTATTTTCTGTTCCTTTTTTTAAGTTGAGAAAAATTGTTTCATCTAATTTTGTGGGATTTTTTTCTGGATTATTGAATGCACAGGAGAACCAATGGAAAATATTTTCATTGAAGTCTAAGGGAAAACATGGTCCAACATGCAGACATTGAGACAAGGTCCATTCACCAACCCTGTCTGCATCTCAGTAGGGTCCCACAGCATATGCTGGTGATTTGACTTGAGGACACTTGAAACTGAAGAAAAACTTTGCCTTTATATCTGGACAATGTCTCATGATTGATACACTTGCCAATTTTTAGAAAAAAAAAATATTTTCTGAATTTTGATATTTCTTGAACAAATTGAGCCGCAGTATTTGTATTCACAAATTTTTAAAATATTATGAATTATTACAAATTACAATTAAAAGCAGGCTAATTTTTTGCTCATTTTCTCAGAGTTTTTTTTCAGTCACAGATGTAGACGCAGGATATATGCATAGGCTCATTTCTTTCATCTGCTTTTTGCACTCCTTTTGATGCCAAAAGATTACTTTGTATGTAATGGGTGGTCTTCTGTACAATTATTTTCTGCATCTTATTGAAGTTGAGAAAAAGTTTTGTTCCACTTTTGTCAAGACTTCATTCTTTCATTGGAGTGTAATTGGTTACTGTGTTTGTATAATCTAAAATTTGAGAAAAGTTCCTGTGAGAATTTTATGTTGTTGAGAAAGACATTCACAATCAGCACTTTTTGCATAAAAAGAGTTCAAAAAGCAAAGATGAAGCACATGCTTAGCTTCAGGATTGTTGATCACTACTGCTGGAAAAATTTTTACACCACCACTACCCCTACTTTCAATTTTTGCACTACTAGCAGTTCAAAAAATATGTTCACCACCACTATATTTTTTATACATCACTGCAACTACCACTATACCACTATATTGCTGTAGTAGTATGGACTCTTCAAAAATATTTCCAACTATATAATTCAATGAACAATTACAGTGTTTGCAAATTTTCACACACCACTGCTTCAGCTGTAAATGTCCAATTTAAATTATTGGAATTCCAAGGCTTTTTACATGCCAATCTGATATTGAAAGCTTATAAGCAATGTCCAGATGAAGAACAATTTCTCACCAATTCAATTCCTTTTCATTCAAGACAGTATGTGACAGCTGAGCCTAGGCTATTTTATTATTAAAATTCCTTATTCACGCATGAAAAATTCATTAGGAAATTGGGATTTGGGGATGATACATTTCATTGTACATGTTTTCAGGAATGAGGAATTATGCTATAAGAGACACATTCATATAAACAGAGATTTCACATATTTCAGGGTGTGATGGTTGCCAGACTATGCACTTCAACTATTTAAAAACAATTGTCTAGATCTAGTGATTGCTGTTATTGATTTCTTGAACATTGAATATGATGCCAGGTCTATATGACTAGTTCTATTAGATTTTTGAAAGGAATAATTTAAAAAGGATGAAAAACATAATGCATTATTTTCAATCAAATGCATATGGTTCAACAATATAAAAACAGGCATACTTTGAATGAGTTTTTTCATGGAAATGCATGAGAATTTTGAATTTTCAGCTTTAAAAATGGACAGAATACTTTCCCCTTTTCACTTGAATTTATTTCTCAAGGAAAGGTGGGTCCTCTCTTTATTTTTTATTTTTTGCTGAATGGGGAGGATTTATATTTTCTCAAACTTGGGGAGAAGGGGGAATTGAGGGGGAAAGGGGGCCAGTGGTGAAGTGGGATAGTTCACCCCAACCCCCTTCTGCTAGCTTCTTATTATTCTCTTGGAGTATCACATATCCCCACCTCCAGCTGTTTGCAGCAAAATATACTGTATAAGCTTCCAAAGACTTTTGGGGTGGAACTGTGGAAGAAGTTTTCAAACTTGGGTGGTGAGACAGTTGAAATAAAACCTATTTCCTGATTTTAGGAAGGAAATGGATTTTCCACAAACAGCTAATGATGGAGATATTTGGTTCCCCAGCAGAAGGATGGAAGGAAGCCAGGAAAAGAAGGGATTGAGTATATCCCACTCCACCCTCTGTTCAAGAAACAATTACCCTTGTCTGTTTAGCAACAACAACAAAAAAGAAAGGGAAGAAAAGACCCACTTTTCTTTTGAAAAATAATTCCAATAAACAAGTGGATTCATGTTTCAAATTCATAAAGTTTAAAAAATGCAGAATCTTTCAGCATTTCCATAAAAAATCTCAGAAAAAGTAAGTCACATTTGTGAAACAGCTGTGTAAAAGATGCTTCACTAGGAAGAATTCCTAGGCGCATATATTTTAACACATTTTTATTAACTTGCTTTCTTGTCTGTTTGTTTGTCCGGATCAAATTTTGCAACTCAAATTTTTTAGATTAATTTTTTAATCTACTAAATTTTTTTTGAAACATTTTTGAGACCGCCACAAAAATTTGCACCATCACTACCACTTCCACTACCAAAAAATTGTTCTTGCCAGTGCCTCTACATGAAAAAATTTATTTGCACTACCACTACCAGTAGTGATAGTGGTAGTGGTAGCAGGTGTCCACCTGCTGTATATATAACGTGGTTATGATAAATTGAGGGCGCTGCTATGCATGCATCAGTATTCCACAGCATAGCTCTCTTTCAGCAGTATAATCATGAGATTACTTTTTTGATGATCAGTATATGATTTCATATAGAGCCTCTAAAAAAATTCTTGGCTGCGTGAAAAAAATTAGGAATTCGTTAAAGAGTAATAATTGCTGGTAGAGTATTTTTGATGAACCACATCGATGAATCACGAGAAATGTGAAACACCGCTGCCTACTCAGAGGCATCATCAACGGGCGCGTCAGGTGAGTGCGGAGACGATGATACTGCAGCTTCTGGATCCATGCAAGCGAGGTGTGCTTGCATGAGAAATGGGAGGATGGAGATCCATCAGCAACAGCCTCTTTCTTGGTTGCGATGGTGACAATTCCCCCGGGGAGGGTTCGCTGTTCAGGAGTGGGACTTTCCGTCAGGGGAAGGAGGGGAAACTCTGTGTCCCTGACACAGGAGGAATTTAGTTTCAGGGAAATGCCGGTCAATATCTCCGCAAGAGTGTCTTATTCTAGCATTAATACAGTGCACAAATGATGCGCCGGAACTGGATAAGCTGTGTAAGAATTCAAAATCTTTGCACGTAGTCAAGATTGCAATCAGCGGAATGCAAGTTTGCTGGAGCAGTACCCGTAGGAATACCCCGGGCAGAGACATGCGGTCACATCTTCCAAGTAAAGATGAAACGACAAATGTTTACCTTGAGTTTATCGTACAGAGGTCGCTTTAAAGCAAATCCCACCCTTCGTGTCAGGCCAGCAGAGGATGAGCGAGCTGATCCTCCTAGGTGCCCCAGCACTATAGCATCTCTCTTACGACGGTCCTATACCCCTTATTCGTCTGACTCGGAGTAACTATATTGACAGTTCTTATACATTACGCCGATGCGAAAAGTTCGAGTTGACTTGATTTTGCTTCAGGTTTTCACAGAGCAACAGCAGCTTCCGAAGAGCCATTATCGTCATGGAATCATGCTGTTCACCGAGGATACGTAACCAAATAAAATGAAAACTGTGATGATAATAAAGTACTGTACTAAAATGCATTATTTTAAACTCAAAAGAATCCTAGATTTACAGGCGCCGCTGCATGGTGGATTCATTTCTTTTGAAATGGAAACATTTACATTTTATATTGAACGTTCCATTTCCCTCTGCGTGTATTCACTTAGCCCATCCAGTAACCCTAGTTACATTATAAAAACCCACCATGATAAGATAATGTACAATAAATCGGATCAGGTGAACCATGGCGCAACGGGCAACATTAATTCTACTGTACTTACCGCGTTGTCGGAACGCAGGTAAACGTAGATGTAGATGTCGCTAAGGCGAAGTTTGCTCTGGCGCCATCGTGGTACCCTTTACGTTCGAAAGCGCCGGATGGATAATTAAGGTACGAGTTGTACGACTGGTGCTCGTTATCAACCCAAACTTGAGCTATTTGCAGTACTGTACAGTATTGAATGACGGGAAGAACTGAAATTTAGTCAAGGCTTGTCTTGGGCAGTAGAAGAACTGTGCGCAAATCTTCGTGAATTGAGGAGAAAGTGTGATTTTAGGGCTGTTGCGTGATAACGTCGATGATGTACCCGCAGTGTTCCGTGCGCGCTATTCCTGGATTAATTATATTTTATTTTGAAGTGTCTGCGCTATTCTGAAATAATTATATTTCTGCCGCGATTCTTCAGTACTGTGTATGTTGGCCACCCTCTGATTTGGTTGATGCGTTGTGTTTCATCGTGAATTTTTCGTCAGGGTTTCCAGGGATAGCCAATCGCCATCCGATATCTGACGCGAAGCTGATTTTTGTGTGGTTGTATTTTATACCATCGTGATGAACTCGTGATCTCAGCATTCGAACATGGAGATGCTTTATTTTGCAGGTTAGTAATACTTTGAAACTTAATCGAGGATCGTTGGCATCCGGATAAAATGTAGTCACTTGTGGGACGGAGGTTCGAAGTTACCAGTTCGCATTGTTTGCTTTACAGCTTAACGATTTGAAAGGCATCCGACTTTCATCATGAGTGAACGTGAGTAGCTAGAAGTTATTTTGCTCATGCCTCTGAGGAACGCCCTCCTTTCATTCCTCTAGAGGAGGGGAAGGAATTGGAGCCGTCTAACGTCACGGAAAGCATCGAAGAACAGCAATCCCCGGGAGCTAATGCTGAGAGCCGAATCGAAGGAATGGCTGATTCTGGCTTTGAAGAAAACGCCGTTGCAACAACATCAGTGGAGTCGATGGTTCTGAAACCCGTTCCAATCAAACCCGAAGGCAAATGTGTTTACTCGCGTGTGAGTAACCTCGTGCGGAAAGTTTTCATCAGTCGCAAATTATGATTAATCTGTTCCTCTCTATACTCTTCAGGAAGAGCTTCTGTCTCTGAGGAATTCAAAATTGAGTCAAGTTCCTCCTGTGTTCGTCAATGACGCCCTGTAAGTAATCCTCTCCACTCATTTTTGATGCTTGTTGCTCGATTATATTGATTTCTTATGCTTTTCGGTTGTCAGTGCTCCCAAACCGCAGAAGTTCCAGAAGGTGCCAGCGGCGGGACCATCAATTTTTCCCCGCCATGCCGCCCCGGACAACCCGAAACCGTCCTACGCCAATGGCTTCCGGTCCATGGGGATAAAGGACAAGTTGATCGATGAGCAGGATGGCATCGTTTTGGGTCCACAGCGAAAGTCGTTCGTCGGCGGCTGTCATCCATCTTTCGCTAATCCACGTCGTGACGCTGGTCCAGATCTGTGAGTCGATTCCGTTAAATGGCTGTTCTTAACTCTTCAAGTTGTCCCATCATTTTCGAATAATTTTGATGTTGATTTGATCGGGTTGAAATCGTCGGCGTAAAATCCCTTCGCGGTGACGGTTGCGCGCAGGAAGCTCGAAGCCAAATGGGTGGACTCGGTCGAAATAACCACACCGGTGCCCATCCCGGACCCGTCTTCCGGAATTAACGCGTTATTCGTTATCCCGTTCCCAGATCTGAGTGATTTTTCAGACGAATTCGCGTCGCGTGCTTCACGGTGGGATGCCCCTCACTGGCGTTGGTTCGTGCATCTTTGTATGTTTCCATCGTACCCCGAACATACAAGTTCAGATGATCTGTTCTATTAAACGTTTCCAGAATCTTCGTGAATAAGTTCGAAGCGCGCCTTAGAAACATTATTGGATGTAGGTTTCGATACTCTTCTGTTACATTGACCAGTTCAGTGAATCGAGTTTCTGTTTCTTGCGTCGAAGTTATGCAGTGGAACCTCTGAAAGTCGAATTTCCAGGGACCAGCAAAGAAATTTGTTTTTCTTTTTTTTAACGAAATACAGTAGTAACCGAAAGGCCCCCTGAAAATCCGAGTTGGGGAGGTATTTAGTGCACTCTTTCTGAGGGAATTCAGACTGGGACGTGAACAAGATCAACTGGAGGAGGTTCGAGTTATCGAGGTTCAACTGTGGTACGATTTCTCAGGTTCGAGTAAAACTTGGTTTGGTCAGGTGGGATCCGTTTGTTTCTTGGTCGAGTCGGCATCTATGAGCTGTTCGAAAAGTCGCGAAAGTGAAGCAAAGAGAAGCACCGAATGGCATTGCAGAAGAAAATTCTGATTTCTGTCTGTTGTTGGCGTTTCGACAGGAACGATATTGGTCGCGGACGAGGACGCAGCAATTTTATGCCTCGTCTCCCGAATCCACGTCCGGCGGAGAAGGAATGGAACAATCGTTACGATCGCAATGAGCCGTGAGTAATGAGTTGACTGGGATTTTGATTCAACTTTTAGTTTATTTGAGAGATTTCTTCTTGTTCAAGGCATGAACGCAGGTTTCCTCGTGATCGGCAAGAGGCTGCAGACGGACGCGATTTTCAGCGGCCATCTCACCATGATTCTCAACATGGAAGATACGACAATCATCGTCATCACAATCGTTACCACCATGCGGAAGAAGAGCCAGAATGGTTTACTGGTGGTCCGACGTCCCAGAATGAGACCATCGAACTACACGGATTTGATGATGAGGTGGAGCAGTTGGGGAAGAACAAATCTGCGAAAACTGCGACCTCGGAACCCACCCTAGGTTCGTTTAGTATTAAGTGGAATGAAGCTTTAATTTCATGCACGATATATTCCAGTTGCCTGGAGTAAAATTCAGATTTGAATGGTTTGCCTTCTCTTTCAGCAGGATCTCGTCCTCCGAGTTCGGTGGACCCTGTGCAGGAACCCTGTGAAGGGGTTCGTCACAGTTCTCCGTTGCCGTCGGGAAAGTCACCGGAGAAAAAGGATGGTACGCTGAAAGGAACAGAGGAAGAAACGCCAAAAAATTTTCCCATGGATTTCGATGGATTCTTTGTCGGAGCAGAGCCTGAAGAGGTGAGAATCACGTTTTTCTGTGTTAAATCAAGTTTGGTACGTTCGTTGGTTCTACGCGACATTTTATAAGTGAAGACAGGCCCGCGCAGACTTTCGTGGTCAACTTTCTGTTGATGTTACTGAAGAATTGATAACTACTGTATTACAATTTTTTGTTAAATTCAACTTGGTGGTTTTCTATAAGGTTGCAACATCGACTGGATCTCGCTTCAGACGTTTCTTCACTCGCCAGTTCGAGGAAGAAAACCCCGGTATTTACGAACTTTCTTGAGTCATTTTGCCTGAATCTCTTGGAAGTTCAGTATGAACTTTTTCACTGTAGGGATTGAGAAGGAATCATCGGCCGCAGAGCACAAGAAAAACGCTTCAGATCTTATCAACGATCAGTATTCCGCACCTAAGAATGATCCCCACGCGAGACAAACTGGACGTGTGAGTGGGGAATCTTGCGAGCTTGGGGGAGAAATTCTGCACTTGTTCCGAAATGCACTGCCTGACAAGAACTCAGTGAACCGCGATGGACATTCCGAGAGTCTCGAAAAACGTGCGCACATTCGCGAATTGGGTAAGTTTCATTACACTTTTATGTGGTATTTTGATGGAAGAGTATGAGACGAACATACAGCTTGTCGTTCCCTTCGTCATCATGATCGACTAATTTTTTCTTCTTTTGCTTTTGGTTATTGCAGCAATACAAGGCAAAGTGATGAATGTCTCAGAAATTGAGGGGCAAAGGGTCGAACGAGAACCCTTGCCGCAGTCCTTTCATCCCCCGGGAAACGATATGTCGGCCTTTCAGAAATTGGTGAGAGGCACATTGCGGCAGTTTTCGATTAGTTGCTCAGTTTTGTATGTTGCTTGTACGTTGCTCGATTCGTTGCTTCTAGTTGGCCCAGGTGTCTCAGGGGGAAGTTCATCCCTTGGCTGCTGCTAGAAACGTTGATAGGACCTTGAATGGGTCCACGCAGGTAAGTCTCGTGTTGATTAATCCGAAGTGTGAAGGTGTTGTGAAGTTCTGCAATAGTCTAATTTTTTTATTTATGCGTGGAGTCTGTCTGCCCCCAAGTACAGTCAAAACTTGATGAGCTGCCATCATTTATTCGTGGTTCATTAGAAAGGCTAACATAATATGAAAAGTTGAAGATACAGTTATTGGAAGTAAAAGTTGTATTCTTCTGGAAAACTGCCACCAAAAAAAAAACCCTGGGATGCGTAAATTATAATATTCCCAATAAGTTAATTATGTAACCTTTTTTTGTTCGTTTGTTTGTTTGGGTTTTATTGGAGACCTCTCACAGAAACTTGAATCTTGTTGGGAAGCTATCTAAGACAAAATTAGTCGTCAATAATTTCAGCAGACAGGGTTTAGCGGGCTTCCCGATCCTTTCATTATTAGGGAATATTCGTGTATCGAAATAAATTGACAGTTGCTGAGGTTGGGGTCCTAAAAAAATTTGACTGTACTTGTGTGTAGTTCCGCTAGATGTCTTCCGAGGTATCTTCGTGAATAGGAGACATGAAGGAAAATCTAAACGAAAGAACCCGTTTTCAATTTTGAATGTTTAAACTTCATGCGAGCAATTTTTTTTATTTCAGTCCACTGGGTACATGGGAACTGTTCGTCCGACTTTGGTCGTTCCCGGAACGAATGACCGTCAGATTTTCATGAACAATCCAGGTGAGGAAACCCGATTTATTTCTCCCAAGCTTCGGTGAATAACGTTGAGAAAATTTCGTCGTAGGTCCATTGTTCCAGAACCAGCCTTATATGGGTAACAAAACCACCTCTTCTGGATTGCTCGACGCCATTAAGGACCGTCGGCAACAGTCTTTTGCTGTGAGCGAGCAATTGAAGAAAGGAGTGCCGTTGGAGGAAATTGAAGTAATAATCTTGATTTCTTTCTTTGTGTGCGTGCACGTGTGTGGGGTGTGTGGAATGTTTTCGTGTGGTTTGCTTTTGGTTTGACCAGATTCCGAAGCCGTCTTTCCAGCCTCCGACGAACAAGGGTGCCGTTAGTTATCCACGGGACTTCGCCGCCAGTATGTGCATGGCTGGTCTGGATGTTGAGCGTCTTTCTCGACCCGAAGCCCAGTATATTCTCAAAGGTGATTACCGTTTATATGCAGTACTGTTCTGTAATATACGAAGGTGGACTCGCTGTACTGTATAAGCGTCTTGTCAACAACGATTTTCTGTGCATAACGTTTTTTTTTTTTCTCAGATGAGGTTCTCTCTCCCCGTTATAGAGGTCGTCTGCAACGAATTTTGTTCTGGTCCCTTAATTTTTGATGATGAGTGAGTCCATCTTCATCAGAATTTTTGAATGAAAATGACCTGAAAAAGGGTCTTGGAATGCGCTATTTTTATCTGAATGAGGATTTAATTACTTCAATCATGTGTAGTACTTCCCATTTAATGGTTTGAGTAATCCGAGGACAGCTCAGAAGTTCATATTTTTCTTGAGGTACTTTTTTTGCCTTCGCATTTCTTGTAATCCTCCGACATCATGACTTTCTGCCATTATTAGAATATTGCATTTCATGATTTTATTGAGGTTGGCGTATACTGTCGAAAGGAGGTTGCATTAATTGAGCTGATTTTAGCATAGGTTACCTACCACACTTTCTTCAGTACCATGCACCCTCAAGTAAGACACGAACCAGGTTTTCCAGTTTAATAATTTGATAAATTGTATCCCAAAGATATCCTTGCTCCCAATTTTTAGTGACGTGAAACATGCAATTTTCGAAAATGAGAACACTCAGTTTTGAATTCAGACATGATTTTATTTTAAATTCAACAAAATTATAATTGTTTCCTTTCGGATAAGCTTTGTTGAAATTGCTTCATTACAATCCAGTATAATGCATGTCTAAACTTTTAAAACTTGGAAAAAAAAGCAATATTCACCTATGATGTGCAGCCTCATTTTTTACTCTTAATTTTCAGAAAAAGATGTGCTTAGTACTCAAGTAAATATGGTGTATCGAATAAATTTCACCTGTCAATCAATTCAGGCAACACCCATCTCACATACCGAACTTAACAATGAATTTGGGCTCCAAAGTGAAAATAACAGAAAACATGGATTACTTGGACTTGTTTGGCAATCCTATTCACAAAGTTAAAAATGCTGCTGGACCAGATTGAGTCTGCAAATCTGCCTGTTGCATTAAACTGCGTAATTTATGAGGGAAAAAAGTGTCCGTTGGGTAATGAGAGGAAACTGATTTTTTGAGCATGTTTCCCTCTGTAATGAATCTGGAGGGTGAAAACTTATCCATCTTCTGAAATTCCCTCTGTGGTCAGGTTTGGTCGATGGTCGACTGTCCAAGCTGCAAATTCAGTTCTTCAGCGGTGCTTCGGGTCAGCCCGAGAATATGAAACAAGCCTACGCAGCCGTCAACAGAGCCTTGGAGTGTCGCTTCGACCCTGTGAGTCTTCTCGGCGATCAAGGAGTGAAATCCCTGCAAGATAGTGGAACACGAAAACCAATGCTGGCTGCTGCTCCACCTCCTCCGCTTCCTGGGAATGTTGCTTTCCGTCCTCCTTCAATCCCCATGTCTGGTGAGCGTTATTTTTTTTTTAGTTTTTGAAAGAAACGGCTGCGATTTTGTTTCTCTCGCATTGTACTCTTCTGTAGTCAAGTTTTCGAGCGGTCCGAAAGTAAAGATGTACGCAGATTTTTTTTGATAATTTGATTATTACATGCGGACTCTCTCTACAACGAAAGTCAAGTGACTAGAAAAACGCGTCGTAGAGAGAATTTCGTTGCACAGAACTTCTCTTGTGTGTGGACTGGGGAGAGAACCCTATGGTTATGCGACCAAAAAATTCGTTTTATTGTTCAGAGAAAATTGTTGGGGACAAGATGTTGCGAGAGTCCACCTTCATTAAAATATTTTGAACCTTTTCGGACCTAATGAGCAAAACGCGGCATATTAAATTGGTGAATTACTGTATTATATGTCCTCTGCAGCACCAATACGTGGCAGTTAACCTATGGTACGGTAGATCCGTTTTGCTTAGTCAAATGTTCCGTATTTACCAAAGTAAAACGCGCGCCTTTTTTTGCTGTTGCAAAATTGAGGCAAGAAGTGGTATGCGCGTGGTTTGCGGGATACTTGAAAAAAAGCGTGAAACCTGTGGTGCTAGTCATGAGGGAGTCTTTGAGGGAGAATAGGTAATGAGCATGCAATTACTGTATGTTTGGTACTCATCCTATGTTTCAAGTTATTGAATTATTATGATTATTTATAGAAGTATTTAGTTAAACATGATTTTTTGAAAAAAGAATATATTTCAAACCCGTAAAAGCTTGTGTGCGTGTCATACATTTACAAATGTATCCCATAAAAAATGGGATATATCTTTTTCTGTAAATTACCGTATTTACTCAATTACACGCGGCCTAGAGTAAGACACGCACCCCAATTTTCCACCGTAAAATTTTGTTGGATTCCTATCCTCAAGTAATACGCGCACCCTGTTTTTGGCAACCAAAAAATACAAATTCAGTTAATTTTTTTACCTTTAAATAGTTGAATAGTTTTTAACTAAATAGCTGTGAAATAGTTTTTCATAATTTTCAATTGTGATGCGCACCTTAACTTCAAAATTTTCTGAAAGTACCTGTACGAGTGACAGGCATACGGCACATGCCAAAGAATGTAGGTGCGCATCTCGACTTGAAAAATGAGTTAATATTTGAATGTAGCAGAAAATTGATGTGTATGCAAGCATGGTTTATTTTTTTTTTCTTTCTTCTTCTCATGAGTTGGACTCTTCCAACGACGAAATTCAGAGGTCTAGGAAAAAAAAACTCGCTGTAGAGAACCCCGATGAGATGGGTAGAGTTCCATTTGGAATCAAACGGAAGAATTCGCTATAGAGCTTATATTTATGTCTTAGTACAGTAATGGAAATGATCAAATTAGGTGAAGATCCTCAAGTTGCGCGTCATGCATGAGATGGGCTGATGTTTGCGCGGAAACCACGAACTCCACGCTGTATCATGATCTCAATCTTCGGAAGTTGTGCATGAACACGTTTTCACGATTTTGTCGGTATCTTTTTTTCACATTCCAAATAGCCGGTCCGCCGATGATGAACGAGCCTTCGCCGCGGGAGATAGCTTTTCAGACGCAGCAGCTGATGAACGACGCCAAGATGAAGCAGCAGCAGGCGCGAATGCAACAGCTGATGCAACAGCAAGCTCAAATCCAGGCGCGTCAAGAGTTCCAGGCCCAGATGCAGCAGATGCAAGCTGACGATTTCCGGCGTCGTCAAGCTGAACATCAGCAACAGCACCTTCTCCACCAGTACGTGCATTATCCTTAAAGGTTTCGAGTGAAATGGTGTTTATTTTTCCCGAAGCGATTCTCTGATGATAATTTCGAGACCTTCTTCCAATTTTTCCTGTAAAGAATTCCGCAATTTCCTGGCCCTCCGCCGCAGCAGAACATGGGCTACAGCATGCCACCGCCGTTGTTGCAGCTGCACCAACAGCAGTTGCAACAACAACAACAGCAGCAGCATTTACTTCACCAAGAGCAACAGCAGCAGCAGCAACAACTTCATCATCAGCAGCAACAGCAAGCGTCAATGCCTCTGGCCTTTATGCCAACGTCAGTCATGCGCAAAATGACCAAGGAGAAGGAGGGCGAGCGAAGGAGTGAGTGACTGATGAATATTGTATGAATATTTTACAACGTTTTCCTCGGATTCAAAGACTGAAATCTTGTCTTTTTTGTTGTCTCCTGCTGCGGTATACGGTACAGTTCTGAAATTTTTGTGGCTAGTGCAGTACAATGGTTGATTCCATGCTCTGGACATTTCTTAATTTTTTTTAGTTTTCTGGCCAGAAATAAAAGCAAAAGAAGAGAAATAAGATTTTGTACAGCATTGGTTTTGAATACAGTATTGTTGACAGATTTCTCAATTCTGCGCCCGATTTTGTTTTCTGAGACTTTGGACAGGTGTCGCGTGAATCCCTAACCAAGAAAGGGTCTGTATTGAACAAATTTGGCTATAGATGAACGTTATACAATTCAGACAACGTCTATGTAATTATTGTAATTAAAAATGGATTAATGTGGTCCTGTTGATGTTGGAGCGGGCTGTGTGTACGGTTCCGGCTTTAAATTTTTGACAGACCAGTTTCGAAATCAGTATGCAGTTGATGACCCGAACCCACACCTAGTCAAATACTATTTAAAGTGATTTTCAAGTCCCTGTCTGGATTCCCTTGAAAAGCAATGCATTTAAAAACTCACGAAGTCAAAAGCTTTCCGCCTCAAACCTCCATTCCCGAATTTTCGCGAGGCGTTTTTGTCTATAATTTTCGTGGAATTTCAGATGAAAGCAATGGAAATATATTTCGATTTATGTATTTTGAAAAGAAATTAATGATTAGTTGGGCAAATGAACCCTTGCCTTCAAGTTCAGAGCATCCTGTCAACTCATTCCAGAAACAATTTAAGGCACAGAATATCACAAATTACCATTTATTTTTATTTTTCTCTCCCCTAATGCTCGTTTCCCTGACTGGAAACCTCTGTAACTCGAATTTGATTGCTGGTCCCATGAAGTTCGAGTTGAAAAGGTTTGACTGTAATTCAGTGAATTACAGTTACCTCGTTGCTTTCTTTTACTCGTTTTCCGAAAAATTTTCTGGGAAGAAGAAGGTACCGCAGAAGTTAAATGATTTATATTACCCGTCGAGGGATCCCAACGTTCCGAAGTACGAGAGCCGGTTGTGAATTTTTCCAGATATTCTTCGTGGCTTCTCGCCGACTAGTGATTTGAACGCTTTCTTTTTGAAGGCGATGCAGAAGCAGTGGATCAACTGGCGAAACTGATGGCTCGTGCTGGAGTGCAGAGCCGACCCTTGCCCCTGATCCCGGGCGAGAAGATCATGTCGGTGGCCGACTTGGAACGCAACCTGAACGCTCAACCGCGCATCAACTAGTACCTCTGTGCTTTTGTCCTCGCCCGTGTGTCTATTGAACGTGCAACGAAAGGCACGACGAGATGATGATGGAGGAGAAGATGAAGAAGATGCTGAGGATAATCAGAAAGAATGCGACAAAGACGCATGCTGGTAAAAGAGAAAAATGTACTGTGAGGCGATCCTGTGATTTGAAACGAGAAGAAATAAGGAAGATATCCCTGAGCCCCCGTTTCCCGAATGTTCCCTGTGGCCTTTTCCCCAGTCCCCCGTGATGCGGTCGTTACGCTGCTTTTGATCCGTGATATATATTTTCCCCTTGCTTCTTGAAGAAGAATGAAAAGAAAAAAAAGAAGAGTGTTCAAGAGTTTGTCTGTTCGAATCCGAGAAGAGGTTCCGTTCCGTGTTGGATTCACGTGCTTGATCATCATTTGATTTCCCTGAGAAAATCACCTATTTCGGTTTTTTCCAGTCAATTCTTTTTTTGTTGTTGTTGAACCCATGCACTTTTTGTTTTTTTTTGGCGTCTGGAGTAATTTGTAGGACGCCGTCGACTTTATTTCCTTTACTCATTTTGTTGCCTTTTTCTCGGAAATTAAATATTCATCCTTCGTTCTGTGGATTAGGTCGGATTCTATTACGATCGATTTTTGAACTCATCGTATACGTGAGAGAGAGAGAATTTGTCTGGTTTTGCAAACTTGTGAAGAGGGGAGTCCTGTCCAAATATTTTTTGTGGAAACTCGGATGTGAGTACAAACGCGCTGCTCTTTTTCTTTTCGTGTTCGATTTCCGCGAGAGGATCTTTGTCGAGATATTGAAAGGGTTTCGTCTTTGTTTTCTTTCTGGCAGAACATTCCCCCCAGTTTCTGAGTGGGTGTAATTTTCCCTGTAACGAACAAACGAGAAGAGAGAAAGCGAGGGAAAGAAACTTTTTTTTTCTTGTGCGCATCATTCAAACTTGGAGGGTTTTTGCGGTATGAATTTTTTGCTGGCTCAGAATTTCGTTGGTGAACCGTTTTTTGGAAGAAGTTGTAAGTTTTGATTTTCCTCGGGATGGAATCTGGCGCAGAAGATGGGAAGAATGCAGAAAGAAGGGAGAGAATTTGTCTCTGTGTTTCAGTTAATTTGGGAGAATGCGGTGATGATGTAATTCTGGATGAGCTTCTTTCAGTGGTTGACGAGAGCTGAATGAGGTTTGTATTTGTTGGTTTACTTTTCCCTGCTTCAAGACACTCGACGCACAGAAGCTTTCTTCTTGAAGTTGGTCTTTTATTTGCATCTCATATAGTCCAAAGGATTAGTCTTGGCTCAACCCCTCGAGCAATCATCTGTACGTCATGCGTATGAGTTGCTGTGGATCTTGGATCATCAGAGCTGTTGGACTGGCCCTGCGAATCCTTTTTTGTGGTTTATGATATGAATGACTGAAGGAAGGTTGAAAGAAAATTTCAGTACTCGCCTGCTGTATTATTGCAGTGCTGCCCTGCTGAAGAAATGTCATCTGTTCAAGTGGTATGTTTGCTACCCAAAAGTTTTAAAGTAAGTACAAGGATGACAGCTTGAGTCTCATACAACTTATCAAATATCTGGTGCTGTATAGTGCAGGGCTTTTCAACCTTTTTGAATCACATACCACCTTTCAAACACTGGACCAGTTGTGTACTTTGAATTTGAGAGCTAATTATAGAAAAAAACCGCATGTTATGGAATCTTCTTGAGTCCCATATTTACCTTCACACTAAATTTAAATCATCAACCCTTTTTTTGAATATGCTGTATTTTACCTGATGATAGAAATGATGCATGGAAACAGGGGGTATCATTGATGGGAATGTAATTACAGTATTTCTTCAATGAGCACATCAGTTTTAAATCTCTGAATGCTTTCCATCAAGCAGAAGTACTGTTTGCATCAGCTAATATGGAGTAGACTGGTATGATGATTGATGTACCTTGATCATAGTCAAGCTGTTGTAGCCCTTGTTTTAGATATTAGGATGCATCACTGACATTGGAAGATCACCAGAGATTCTCACTTGAATAGCTTTTAAGAGAACTGATGAATTTTTTTACAGAGATGAGTTTTGTATTTTCATGCTGACGAGAAGTAACATTGATGTTCAGCTTTGGAATTCATTTGTAGACATGTTTTCACTGTACACTTGCAATTGCTGTGTGCTTGATTATTTTGGTAATTATGTATGTCTTAAGCAGGGTTCTTTCTTTTAGAAAATGACCACCGATGCGATAGCATATGATGACCCAGCGTACGCTTCAATACATGCAGATTTTGATACTAAAAATTCTGCCCCAATGCACTGAATCACTGGATATGCAATTTCCTAGCATTTCCAGAATTTTTTTTTAGTTTTAAATGTTTATGCCTCTGTTCAGAATTGCGATGATAATATAACTGTGTTCAAATATTCAAATTGAATTTTATGCATTTGATCGAAATTATTGAATAAAATATGCAGATTTCTGATTTTCTCCCCTGCGCAAATAAGGAGGATGTGTTTTTTTTTTTGCGTCGATCTGTTTGGTATTTTCACTATACTGTACAGTTATTTTTTGCTTTGTCAACTTCAAAAATATTTTTGTTCAATTTTGGAAGACACGTTCCAATTGTTCCCCAACATGAGAAGGTACAGTATATATATGGGATTGGGGACAACATTTTTCCATGGCACCAGTAATAATTATAACAGATCATTCTCTTGAAAATGCTGCACTAAAGGATCAGCCCTCTTGGCAGATTTTGAATTTGTTCTATAGATGAAAAATCGGGAGGAAGTCTGTCAAAAGTTGAATAAAGTACATTTTCTCAACTTCATGCAGAAAAAAACACAAGCATAATTTGATCTTTTGGTATATGTAATGGAGCACAAAAAGCTAAAAACAACCAGCAGAAGTCTTCCTATTCTGAACAAAGATGACGGAAAGAAGTCTGAAAAAAATAAGCAAAAAAGCAGCCTATGGTGTATATTAGAGAAAATAAATTTTAAATCATTGCTGTTAGCATGAAAAAAATCAGTTTGTTCAAAGGATATCAAAATTTTTAAGAATGTATCCACTTGTCTGGAAATGCCTGTGAAATGCCTGTATCTTGATTCTTGAGACATTCATTGGGGCAGGTTTTTTGAGTTTCATAAGTGGCCCTAAGTCAAATATCGCCCGTAAGTCGATGCCCCACTTAATACGTACGAATTTGAACTGACACCCTGACGTATCCCCCTGCTGGAACATTGCTACTGACAATAATTCCGCGGCACTTTTCTACAGTCATTCTATACTACGTAGTGATCAGGTCGTGTCAGTTCCAATGTTCTGTACCCCGCCTTCTCCTCCAATTACTGTCTCTTGTGTGTGTCCTCTGTTCACCTGTCAGAACGGAATCCTGGCAAAAACTGAGAAATCAAAAAAATTGGCACCAAGTCAGACCATTCTCGAGTGTCGGCGCGTTTCCTGTGCATTCATTCATTCATCAACGCCGCAAATTCCTCTCACACATCAGCGACTGCTGCTGGGGAATTCAACCTTATTTGTTTTTTTTTTCCTCGGAATGTTTTTGACAACCGAAAATGTTTCTGTAAAAAAAATAAATGCTAATCGGATCTCAATTACGACAATATTCCAATTCGTTCCGCGATGACGAAATAGATACATCACCAAATTTAAAATTGCAGCCGCTATTTATATTGATCCGTTGCCATTTTTGCTTCGAATAAATATCGAGAGCTTATTTTAGGCAGGATAACAATTTCGCCGCAGAATATCACCTCTGTCAAAAATGTTCGATTTCCTTTAGGATTTGAAAAAAAGAGAAATCGATTTCTGAAAGTAAACAGGAGGGGAATTCTGCGAATTATCTTAGCTTTATAGGGTATCATCTCATCAAGGGAAAGATGAAGTGCCCTGTCAGAATGTGACGCATAATGTGTATACAAGGGTGGTCCCACTTTTGATTGTCCTTGAGTATTTCTGTAGGCAGGTACCACTGTGAAAAAAATATATGATGTAGCCCATGCCACTGTAAGGTTCTAGGATTTTTATAAAAAAATTGTAGATTTGCTGCATGATGACAGTATAAGTGAAAACGTTTTGGTTACAGCAAGAGTTCTTCACCCATGTCACAAGTTGTTGAAACTTTTTTCAGCCAGGTAAAAAAATTAATATTTTCTGTGGTTTTTAGTACAAGTTTCCTACATCTTACGTAATTTTCAAAATTTTCAAGGATAATTTTGTTTGCCAAAAAATTAAAAACAAAATAAATTCTGCATTTTTTTGAGAGCAAAGGTTCATTTTAATTTTTTATTTCTTCTTCAAAAACATCATCCAAGATTCCAAGGCTTTGTTTCTGCCTAGAATATCTTTCTTACTACGTGGAAATTCAACAAATCTTCTTTGTGTGTGTGTTTTTACATCTTCTGCCTCAAGGTCAGAAAGCATAGTGAGGACTGAGGAGAATAAGGGATCCAGCCCAGTTAGATCTTGCCCCCCCCCCCCCCCCCTCCTGGGATCATGGCTCAATTTTCTTCCCATTTTCGCAGGTTTTGCTCCTCCACCCGTTTTTTTCATACCTTCCATCATGAAATAAAAATATGTAAAATATAAATATACATTTTATAAAACTTCAAAAACCTAGCCAGATTCGTCATGTCAAGTGTTTTTGTCTGCTGGCTATGAAAACTTCATTGTTGAAAATTGAATCGTCGATTATCATATCAGCAAAGATCTTGCATGTAGATATAGCTGGATGTTGCTTGCCACTTTCAACCTCTGGACAAGCAATGCAATTTCCCAATTCAAAATTTCACTCAGTTCCATTAAACGCCAGTTTCCTGTGATGGAATTTGAACCCTGTATGCCCCTAACTCAAAACTTTTTGGGTCAAACCTCCTTTATAGTCAAAATTTCAAAGTTATTGTGTTTTTAAATTAGGCCCACATATTCGAAAACCTGTAAAAATGCACAATAAAACAAAAGAAACTATATTATAGTATATGCATTTTCTCGCATTCTACAGATTATAGAAGCCTTCCATTGTTATATCAATGGATAACAATGCACAATTCTACAAATGTTTGACCAGAAAAAAATTTTCATCGATTAATCAGAATGTGACCCTCATGAAGCCAAATTGACTGATTCAAAAATTCTTAATGCTTTTGAATTTTAGGAATAATTTTAAATAGTGTATGATTTTCAATGTTTATTTTTCCAAGTGTAATTTCGAACCAGGAAAGATGCACATCTGTATATTTGACTTGAAATTATAAGTAAAACTGTATCCCTGTGTATTAAGTGCATCCGAAAATTCAATGGCAAAAGATTAAAAAAAACCAGGAAATTATTTAATCAGAATATCTGTATTTAGGCTCAAAATAACATTGTTTTTATCTCTGTTTACAGTATATGCTGTTCCTTCTTTTCATTAAGGGAGCTGTGGTTAAAAAAATATAGCTGGGAAAAGTTTGCCATTCTTAACCAAAACATGTTTTTAAAGAACTTTGTAACCCAGCACAATGGCCACCCAATTTTGTCCTTCATGGTTTAAAAGAAAAGGTTCACATGGTACTTGAGTTACAGTAATACATTCTATAGTATAAGGTGTGATCCAAGACTTAGTGTCCTGTACTAGAGCAATAATACCGTGCGCATTAAAAACGCCGATCATGGAACTGTGTTGCATAGCAACTCTTCGCTCCGAGGCGCACGAGGTCAGTTGTCTAGACAGCGGTCATTTACCTGCCCTACTTTTGATTTGGTTGCATCCTGCTTGCGCAGTCGCGTCTGGAACGTGTTGAATCTATAAAGGGTACTTGCGCGTTAGAAGACGGACTCCCAACCCAAGTGGGCGATCAGCAGGCCGCCTGTCGGCAGGATGACGAACGTGCCCAGCATTGAACCTATGTATATGTGTGGTATATACACAAGGCAATAAAGTTTGCAGTCTTTATAGGTCAACTCAGGTCATGATAGATGAAGGATTCCATGACACCCAGATGAAGAAGAGCATCATTGCTGGTGCCCAGATTCAAAAATACAGTATATTTTTCTAGACTTTCTCTCTCTCTCTCTCTAATATGGAGCAATTTTCTT